AATAACATAATCAGTTAGGTATAGAAATCTAACTCGCCCTATAGGCAGTAGGAGGGAAAAGGGGAAAGAAAAGGCAGGGGGGAATAGAAGGGAGGGAGGAAGCAGAAAGGCTAAAGGGGAAGAAAAGGGAAAGGGAGGGAGGGACTGAGGGAGGCGGTGGTGAAAAGCAAAACACCAGTGAGAATTTGTACTTACAACTGCACTAATGTGAAAATATGTTTGATAGGAATGTAAATGTATAGCATATATCAGATTGTGTGCCATCTTGGGGAGGGTGGTGGGGAGGAAGGGGGAGAAAAATTCTCAACTCAAAAGCATATGGAAGTGATTGTTGATAAATCAAAATAAATTAATAAATTAAATTTTTTTTTAAATAGGGGAAAAAATTTTGTTGTTTTGAATTCTGTGTTCTCTTTAAGAACTACCTATAACTCCATTACACAACAGTTTTTATTAGTTAAACAGAGGTTGAGAAATGGTAATGCTTCCAGATTGCCATGACCTGAGAAGAGGACATGCACCAAAAGTCCTTTCTTTTTCCTCCCAGAGAAATGCTGAGTTCCTGATATCCAAAATGGGATTAGAAATAGCAAGAAACTTAAAAAAAAAAAAAGGGAATCTATTCCATGATTAGCCTGGCCATTGAATTCCAGATTCATCCTAACCTGGAATACACTGGATAATAATTTATTTAAAACTGAAATAGGAAAAAAGTGGCACTTATCACTGCAATGCAGTAATCATTTTTCTAATCCTATTCACCTGACATGAGAATCAGTAGAGGATTTGATTATAAGAAATCAACTGATGATTTAGTCAGTCAATAAATATATTAAAGTTACTTGCTTTAAAATGATATAGGATAAAAATGATATAGGACTATTACTAACTTCTATAACAAAGAGGCAATTTTCTTTCTCTCCATTATTCTATCCCCAAATATACATTTGAGAATTGATGTCTCATTTTTCATCTTTCCCACCTGCCTACATCTGGGTTAATTCATATTGTTTGAAATGATGACTCTTTGTTGAACTGATAAAATAATTTGAGTCAAAACAGTGAAGTGGATAAGGCTCTGGACTTATTAGGAAAATCTGAGTTCAAATGCTGCCTTGGATGCTTATTAGGTATATCACTCTGGACATGTCACTTAAATTCTCTGCCTCCTTTTCCTCATGTATGAAATGATATGGTTGGACTTTATATTCCCTTCTAATTCTATATCAATGATGCCACAATCATGTTTTTAAGGCTAATAAAGATCCACTAAATTTCAGGATTTTAAGACTGAAGACAATCAATTAATCAATCAACAAACATTTACAGAGCACCAGCTACGTGTCAAGGATGGTGCTAGATGATGGGGATACAAAGACAACAGAAAAATAGGCCCTGCTCTCAAGGAGCTTCCATTCTAGCAGGCAACATGATGTATACATTATGAATATACAAAACATATTTCACTGAATAAGTACAAGGTAAATGGGAAGGGGGGAAGGGATGGGCACTAGCACCTGGGGAATTAAAACTATCGACCATATGGAAGGTATTATCTGAGCAGTTCTGGAGGAGCGAGGGACTCCAGGAAGTAAGGGGGACCCCATGCACAGGGGACAGCCCGTGCAATGGCCAGTTTGGCAGTATAGGAAGGGAAGCAATAGAAAGGTAATGTGGTACCAGGCTACAAAAGGCTTTGAAGACTTAGCAGAAGGGTTCATATGTGATCCCAGGGACAATAGGGAGAACTGAGGATTTATTGAGTAGAGGATTGTTGACCTACACATTAAGGAAATATTTTGTTAGCTACAGGGAGGATGAATTGGAATAGGGTTGTGAGGCAGGGAGACCAATGAAGAGGTTATTGCAGTAGCCTAGACAAGAAGTATTGTGGGCCTGAACAAGGGCTGTGGCCATGTAGGTGGAGAAAATGTGAACAAATGTTGGAGACATTGTGGAAGCAGAAATAGTAAGATCGGGCTAATGGTTGAAAATATGTGATTTGGGCTAGGGAGGAGTAAAGGATGACACCAAACATGTGAATCTGGATGGTTGTGTCCTTGACAGAAACTGGAAAGTTCAGGAGTGGTGGCAGAGTGGGGATCAGAGGAGAACTGAGTGGTAAAATGAGTTTAGGTTTGAACATGTTCAGTTTGAAATCTTTCCTTATCAACTAGTTCCTTATCTACTGCCCTCAAATATACCCAGATGCCAGTCCCCCTATTTAAAAAAAACAACAACAACCAAACTTTTACCAGATTGTAACATCCCCTCAAGTTGTCCTAGGTTTCCTACATTGCTTAACCAAACTCCTAGAAAACAGCTATCTACACTTGCTGGCTTCAGTTCCTTTCCTCCCACAATTTTGCAATCTGACTTCCAACCTCTCCACCCAATTATTCTCTCCAAAAATGCCAATGATCTCTTTTGGCTTTTTCTCCTTCCTCATCCTTCATGTTTTCTCTGTTGCACTTGACACTTTTGAACACCTACTCCTCTTGGATCCTGTCTTCTCTGGGTTTTCATGACTCTGCTCTATCCTTGTTCTCTTCCTACTGCTCCTTTTCTGATTTCTGATTTCTGTGTGATCCATAACACACACCGTAACTGTGGCTATTTCCCAAAGCCATCATGTCCTTTCTCTGTCTCTCTCTCTCTCTTTCTCTCTCTCTCTCTCTCTCTCTCTCTCTTTATCTTTTTCTCTCTTCTGATAGTTTATCACCTCTTTGCAGATGACTCACAGATCTACATATGGGGCCACAATCTCTCCCCTGAATTTCAGTCCCACATTATTAATTACTTGTTAGACATTCAAACTAGATGTCTCAGAGACATCTCAAGTTCAATGGTTCAAAACAATTCATCTCTTCCCCCCAAATTCCAACACTCTTTCAACTCCCCCATTTCTGCCAAAGGTGACATGATTCTTCCAGCCTTGGAGGCTCATAACATCAGCATTATCCTTAACTCCTTACTTTTTCTTATCCCACATATTCAGTCAGCTGACAAATCTTGCCATTTCTACCTTAACAATATCTCTCACATCCAGTGCCTTTGGTCTATTCACAAAGCTCCACCTTGGTTCAGAGTTTCATCACCTCTCACCTAGAGAGGTACAATGGCCTGTTACCTGGTCTCCTTGCTTCAAATATCTGCTCACTCCAATCCTTCCTCTACATGGCTGCCAACGTATTTTCCCCCTGAAGTTCAGGTCTGACTATATATTTTCCTACTAAATAAACTCCATTGTCTACTTACAGTCTCTAGGATCAAATACAAATTCTTCTTTTTCACCTTTAAAACTCTTCACAAGTTGGCCTTGACCTATCTTTCCAACCTCATGCATTATTCCATGGTCAAGCCTTTCCCATAGTTCTTCACACAGCACTCCATTTTCCATCATCATACTTTTGCACTGACCATGTGAAATGCCTGAAATGCACTTACCCTAAGCTCCACTTCATAGAATTCCTTTATTCCTGACTCTCCCAATTTTCCCTCCATGGGCCAGAAGCCTCTTGTCCTAGAAAATTCCTCTACCCCTACGTCCTCCTTCCTTTAATTGATGAGTTCCTCCCAGAATCTCCATCTTAAGGAAGTGCCCAAGCCAGCCATGCTCACTTCTTCACTCCTCTCCCAGCAACACTACTGACTCTCTGGGTCTTCTCCATCAAACCCCTATGTGGGTACCTTCCCCTGTCCTCTGATCTTCCCCTCTTAGAGTGCTCTTGAGGGCAGAGACCATCTTAATTTTTGCTCATATTTGTATTCTCAGGGTTTCTCACAGTGCTTGGAACATAGTCACTGTTTAATAAATTTTCTATCTATCTATCTATCTACCTATCTATCTATCTATTTATCTATCTGTCTATCTATCTCAAGCTCTACCTGATGAGCCACTGTCTTATGTTTAACCATCATTTATTTCATTTTTATTCTATGTCTGTTTAGTTTCAACTGCATAAACTTAATATGTCCCTATTGTCTCCCTGGATAGAATATGAGCTCATTAAAATTAAGGATTGTTTCATTCACTGTGTAGGTATTCCCAGGATCTAGCAGAATGTCTTGTACCTAGTAAGGGCTTACTAATTTTTCGTTGATTGGTCTATAGGACTTCAGCATTGCATGGTCTAATCTAGAACATCTCCTATAATATTGAAGCATCCTTCAAGCTGCCCTGGGAGTCTAATTTTACAAAGAGAGTTCATCTAGCTGACCTCTTCAGTTCTAATTTCTTTTAGAGCACCAAAAACTGTTTTGCATATGAATAATCTTGGGATGCTAAAGAGATAAAGAATTCTACTAACCAAGTAATTCTGCTAAAACGTAAGAATTGGTTTGGGGAATGTATTGAGCTTATCTGGTCAATTTTAGCAATAAGATTTTAATAAGGTGGGGAAAGCAGGAACACGAACTCATTTGATCATTTTTGGAGGCTTTTGTAGCATTGGTGCAATCTGCTGGCAAAACAAACCAATTGATTAATCAACAATATCTATAATAAAATAATGTTTTCCTATCAATCTGACATAATAGCATTATTTCCCAAACTATATTAAATATAAATTATATTTATATAATGCTTTAAAGTTCACAAAGAAGTTTTCTTTTCTTTCTTCTTCTTCTTCTTCGTTTTTTTTGGCTCCGCAATGAGGTTAAGTGCCCAGGTGACTGGCCTGAGTCAAACTCTACCCCTAGCAAAGCCTTAAAGTAGGACCATCCCCATTTATCACATCAAGTCAACCATTAAAAAAAAAAGACAAGATATTTTGTGGCAGAGAATAACCCAAGTGTCCGTCCTCTCTGTTTGCATTGGCTTGAGAAAGTTAATGATTAAAATGTTCTAGATTTTCTCCATCATTTCCCTGTAGGATATCTATTTGCATTTATATGATTTTATCTGCACTGGTCCAAGGATGCTCCCCACCCCCATCTGTTTCTGTGTAGAGATTAATAATTGATTTGCTCATATCATATGTGGAAAGTTCATTGGGAAAGAGACAATCACTTTTTGAGATGACCTCTCATAGAGGTGATGAGCCCTGTGGCATCAACATGAATTCAAGCAGTCTAAGAATGATAAAAGTCCTGGTTTTGCTGCTTTCTGTAACATTTATTCATGCTGAACACAGAGGTAAGATTTTTAAAGTTGTGATCCTATACTATGCACATATTCCATTCTTTCAAAAAAAATCTAAAATAAGTTTCAATTGAGAGCTGTGGGTTTTCTCTTTTTCAGATAAACACAGTCAGTGTTTGAATGGATTTTAAAATATTTAGAAGCTTCAAAATAAGGTGTATGTTTTGTGTAAGGCATTGGAGGCAAAGTATCAGGTTGTAGGGGTTTTTTTTCTATTTCTTTGACAACAAGGAATGGTGTCAAATGCATGGCTTTTAACTATAAAGTTAACAAGATGGCTAACACAGTACCTATAACATAACAGCTGTGTGTTTTCTGAGTCTCAAACTGACATACATTCATAGACCCATTCCTTAAAATATTCATTTTTCTGGGGGGAGGGAAATATTGAAAATGGGTAGTAGAAAATATGATCCAAAGATGACAGTAAGTATTTTTTCGAATGGCAATTTGTACCACCTTCAGCTGGGTCCTCTTTCTGAAAACCTAGGATAGTGTTTCTGGGCAGAAAGATTCAGTGGCCTGATGAGATCTTTACAAAGTGTGCAGGCCATTTGAAAATCTGTTCAATTGCTGAAGTCAGCATGCAACTAATAGTTGCATAGTTAGAATGATGTGATATGAAGAAGATCCAAGTTCAAATCCTGCCTTAAATGTTTAGTAATTGTGTAACCCTGGACAAGTCACTTAATCTCACTCAGTCTCAATTTCCTCATCTGAAAAATGAGGATAATAGTAGCACTTACCTCCTAAGGTTGTTGTGAAAATCAAATGAGCTAAAGTGAGCTGTATACTTCAAAACCTTAAAGTGCTATGTACATGTTAGCTGCTGGTTAGGACCAAAATTAAAATAATTGATGACTTTGAAATGAAACAAAATTATTCACATATTCCACATATGTATGCACATATGTAATACACACGTGTGTGCACATGTATGTATGTGTATATCTATGTATATGCACATATATTCAGAATGGATTTTCAATGACATCCTCACCTCTGGACTATTTCTAAACTTTTAGTAGAAATGATGCTACTAAAAATCTGCAAAGGGAGAACTTCATTCTGACTGACACAATTACTCTCTATTTCCCTTTTGTTCTTACCACTTCCTGAGAGATCTGCATCCCTCCTGGTTTGTCAGTCATGAAATTATTTTGTCATTCTTGCAAAATTGCTGAGTAGAACTTCAGAATCCATTTCAGGGAACATATTCAAGATGAAATGTCAATTGAATTTGCCTCAGAAGTCACCAGTTAGTACTTAAAGCATAAAATTTAATTAAGCAAATATTAATTAAGCACCTATTCTGGGAAGAGCACCATGCTAGGGGCTGGGAAAATCAGATGGGGGGACCCTGACATCATGCCCCTTTTAGTCTAGAATCAAGATATATGCCCCAAAAGCAATACAAAATAAAGTAACGGCAGAAGGTGGAGGCAAGGTGTCATGGGATATCTGCTGGGAGACAAAGGTAATTACAAAACTTGACCTTTGTACCTTTTCTGAAGATCCCGGAATCAGTTCACTTTTCTGAGAGTTGTCATGTCCAAGTCTAGGACCAGAAAAGGCCTTTTGGGGTTACTTTACACTAGATGCCCCCCAAACCTCAGGAAACAGTGTAGAGAGTGTAACCGCAGGGGAAGGGTGCACCCTATATAAGAGAAAGCTGCTCTAGGCACCTACTGATTCAATATATGCCTACTGGTTTCATGCCAGGACATTTTAGCACCAACTGTCCAGTGAGTAACACCAGAACATTCTCTAACTCTAGGCATAGAGAATGGGTAGAGTGCTGGCCTCAAAACCAGGTAGATCTGGGTTCAAGTCTTGACTTTGATATATGCTGACTTCTTGCTCACCTGATCTCTGTGCACGAGGCAACTCTAATACTATAAAGAATGGATAGACCTAGGGGCAGCTAGGTGGCGCAGTGGATAGAGCACTGGCCTTGGAGTCAGGAGGACCTGAGTTCAAATCTGGCCTCAGACACTTACTAGCTGGGTGACCCTGCCATTGCCTAGCCTCCTCCCAATAAAAGAGAATAGATAAACCTGCATTGGAGGAGAATGCTACCTCACCAGATGGTTCCCTAGAGCAACGAAATCACAGACCAATCTCTATCCCTATTCAATACTAAATATTCCCAAAGGGCTGGGAAGTGGGGAGTTTCAATTTTATGTACTTGACTACCATGGAGGAATTGTACTATAGTCCACTCACTTCATATAAATCACATGTCAAATTATGTTTACTTGTAATGAAAATTTGAGTGTAAACATGGATGATATCTCTGACCACCTCTCCTCACCATGGATGGGTTCTAACAGATCATTCTGCCATCCCTTAGGGCACTGACCCCCTGGTTTCCAAGTCAATGGTAACATAACATCTTTGGTCTTTTGCGGTTTCTCCCAGCTCTAAGCCATGCCAATTGGTAGGACAGCTGAAAATACAAGGAACATCTTTTACCACTCCTGGACCCAATAAAAGGATTCCAATTAAAATTAGAATAAATTCTGGGGAATTGTCCAGATACTCCTGTCCAAATGTAGTCCAATTCTGGAGGACTCAGGGATCGCGGACGGAGTAGATGGTTCTGTATCCCTTCCCTTCTGGACTCCAAATTTTTAGAGTGACCCTGGGGATCCAAAAAGATCCAGTGCTATCTTGTGAATTGGAGATGAGGAAAGGCGAGCTACTCAAAGATCCTGCAAGCAAATCGATACGGTTTATACATATGTAGTCATGCAAAACACTTCCATAGTAGTCATGTTGTACAAAAACTAACTATATTTACCTTCATGTTATCTCAGCTTCTGTTTATTCTATTCTCTCTTTTGACCCTGTGCCTCCTCAAAAGTGTTTGCTTCTGATTACCCCCTCCTCCAATGTGCCCTCCCCTCTATCATCTCCCCACCCAAGCTCTCTTATCCTCTTCCCCCCTATTTTCCTATAGGGTAAGACAGATTTCCATACTCAGTTGAGTTCTCCCTCTTTTCTTGATCTACCTTCTCTTTGGATGATCTCATTAGTTCTCATTGGCTCAATTATCTTCTTTATGCAGATGACCCTCATCTGCATGCAGGTTATTCTAGCTGTAGTATCTCTTGTGAGTTGCAATCTAGCATTTCCAACTAACTAGCTATGAGATGTTTCCTATGAAATGTCCCTCAGCATCTCAAGATCAATGTGTTCAAACACATTACCTTTCCACCGAAACCTTCATGTAAACTTCTGTTTTGCTGTTAAGGGTACAACCAGTTACCTCAATCCTCAACCTTAGAGTCATACTTGAATCTTCATTTTCCTTCTTTCCTCACATACAAATATTTACTCTCAGCCTTGTTGATTCTCCATGTATAACATTTCTAACCTCTATCCCTTTTCATCTACTATCACAGCTACCACTTTAGCTAGGCCCCCATCACCTCTTTCCTGGACTATTATAACAATACTTTTAATACTATAATAGCAATTACTATGTAATCTTCTATATTGTGTAACTCCAATAATAGTTACAATACAATATTACAATAATCCTTCTACTTACTTCAAATGTCTCACCTCTCCAATCTATATTCTACAAAGCTGCCAAAATGATACTTCTATTTCACAGGTTTGACCATGCCTCTCTACTTACTAAAAATCTCCAATGGGCCCCTGATTCCTCTAACATAATATACAAATTCACTGGTGTGTAAAGGCTTTCACCATCTGGTTCCTCTCTACCTTTTTAGGCTCATCACATAAAGTGGTTTGATTGTGCTTCCTCATACATCCAGGTGTACCTTGTTGTATTGCACTTTGCTTAATGATCTTCACAGATATTGCATTGTTTTGTTTTGTGCTGTTTACATTGTGAAGGGTTGTGGCAACCCTGCATCAATCAAATCTATTGGCACAAAGTTTTCCAAGAGCATGTGTTCACATCGTGTCTTTGTGTCACGTTTTGGTAATTCTCACAATGGTGTCAACTTTCTCATTACTATTATGTCTCTTATAGTGATCTGTGACCAGGGATCTTTGAAATTACTATTGTAATTATTTTGGGATGCCAAAAACTGGGCCCATATAAAACAGCAACGTAATCAATAAATGTTGATTGTGTTCTGACTACTCCACTGACCAGCCATTCCCCATTTCTCTCCCTCTCCTCAGGTATCCCTATTCCCTGACACACAACAATATTGAAAAATATTACATAAACTTAGTTTATAAAACAGCTGCAAGGTTTGAGAGGATTGACTCCAATTTTGAAAGAGGTTCTACTGTGGTTAAAATACTATAAAACAGCATGCTTGCCACAGAGAAATCTTTCATGAAAGGAAAAGTCAATCAATGGGACAAACTTCATTGTTTTCCTATTTTAAGAAATTGCCACACCCAATCAGTTGTCAACCATTAACATTGAAGTGAGACCCTCCACCTGCAAAAAGATTAAGACTCACTGAAGGCTCAGATTATGGTTAGTATTTTTTTTAGCAATAAATCATTTTTTTTAAGGTATGTATAATTTGGTTTAGACAATAGACAATTATCTCAATAGAATGTAAGTAAGTTCCTTGATGTTAGGGAATATTACATTTTTTCCTCTTTATATTCCTAGCACAGTGGCTTGAATGTATTGTTGCTGTTGTTCAGTTTCAGTCATGTCTAACTCTTCATGACCCCATTTAGGAATTTCTTGGCAAAGATACTGGAGTGGTTTGCCATTTCTTTTTCCAGCTCATTTTACATATGAGGAAACTGAGACAAACAGGGTTAAGTGACTTGCCCAGGGTCACTGGGATTTGAACTCAGGAAGAGAAATCTTCCTGATTCCAGGGCGAGCATCCTATCTGCCGTGTTGCCCAGCTGCCCTCTTGCACATAGTGTGCTTTTAAATACTCATTTATTGATTGAGAGTGGTCATTGTCTCAATATATTGGGGCAAATTCTGCTACTCATTAAATCCATTATGAGGAGCATATTCCATGGCTATAAATCTT